GGAAGGGCCCTTAGTCCACACTCAGATGATGTGGGATTCCCTGCCTTGATATTCTGGGCTGTGTGGAAGGGCCCTTAGTCCACAGTCAGATGATGTGGGATTTCCTGCCTTGATATTCTGGGCTGTGTGGAAGGGCCCTTAGTCCACACTCAGATGATGTGGGATTCCCTGCCTTGATATTCTGGGCTGTGTGGAAGGGCCCTTAGTCCACAGTCAGATGATGTGGGATTTCCTGCCTTGATATTCTGGGCTGTGTGGAAGGGCCCTTAGTCCACACTCAGATGATGTGGGATTCCCTGCCTTGATATTCTGGGCTGTGTGGAAGGGCCCTTAGTCCACACTCAGATGATGTGGGATTTCCCTGCCTTGATATTCTGGGCTGTGTGGAAGGGCCCTTAGTCCACACTCAGATGATGTGGGATTTCCTGCCTTGATATTCTGGGCTGTGTGGAAGGGCCCTTAGTCCACACTCAGATGATGTGGGATTCCCTGCCTTGATATTCTGGGCTGTGTGGAAGGGCCCTTAGTCCACACTCAGATGATGTGGGATTCCCTGCCTTGATATTCTGGGCTGTGTGGAAGGGCCCTTAGTCCACACTCAGATGATGTGGGATTCCTGCCTTGATATTCTGGGCTGTGTGGAAGGGCCCTTAGTCCACACTCAGATGATGTGGGATTCCCTGCCTTGATATTCTGGGCTGTGTGGAAGGGCCCTTAGTCCACAGTCAGATGATGTGGGATTTCCTGCCTTGATATTCTGGGCTGTGTGGAAGGGCCCTTAGTCCACACTCAGATGATGTGGGATTCCCTGCCTTGATATTCTGGGCTGTGTGGAAGGGCCCTTAGTCCACACTCAGATGATGTGGGATTCCCTGCCTTGATATTCTGGGCTGTGTGGAAGGGCCCTTAGTCCACACTCAGATGATGTGGGATTCCCTGCCTTGATATTCTGGGCTGTGTGGAAGGGCCCTTAGTCCACACTCAGATGATGTGGGATTCCCTGCCTTGATATTCTGGGCTGTGTGGAAGGGCCCTTAGTCCACACTCAGATGATGTGGGATTCCCTGCCTTGATATTCTGGGCTGTGTGGAAGGGCCCTTAGTCCACACTCAGATGATGTGGGATTCCCTGCCTTGATATTCTGGGCTGTGTGGAAGGGCCCTTAGTCCACACTCAGATGATGTGGGATTCCCTGCCTTGATATTCTGGGCTGTGTGGAAGGGCCCTTAGTCCACACTCAGATGATGTGGGATTCCCTGCCTTGATATTAGTGACTAGTGGAAGGAGCAAGGGTAGAAGTGGGCTGGAGCCCGTGGATAACAATGAGGTGGGGAGGGGGGAGAAAGAGAATCAAGGTAATTGGCATGGAAAAACGCCAACAAACCAAACAACTAGTGAAACAGAGACTAAGACCTTGGTTTCGGATTGCGGCATGGAGGAGGGGAGGTGTTCCACTAGCCGAGGGGCCCCCATAGAGGTCGTGGTGGGAAGGAGGAGATGCGGAAAAAGGAGACATCGAATTCGGCCTAATTCGGACCACTTATCTACATTAATAACCCCAAATCGGTCTCCTAAGGTAAATTGGTGTAGCCAGGTGAGCGGGCCCTCTGGATTGAAGGTGGTGCTGCTGAACGCCAGATCTGTCAACGGAAAAACGACCTTCATCCAGGATTTAATCCTGGATGAGCGGGCAGATCTGGCGTGCATTACGGAGACCTGGTTGGATGAAGCTGGGGGTGTGAATCTCACCCAGCTTTGTCCTCCAGGTTTCTCCGTACAGCACCAACCGAGATCCGGAGGACGGGGAGGCGGGGTTGCAGTGGTCTATAGAGATTCCATCCATCTGACCAGGAGCCCCATCCCGCAGACCACAAATTTTGAATGCGTCCACCTAAGGGTGGGTGACCGGGACAGATTAGGGATTCTGCTAGTGTACCGTCCACCTCGCTGCACTACAGTCTCCCTACCTGAGCTAGCGGGGGTAGTCTCGAGCCTGGCGTTGGAGTCTCAACGGCTTTTGGTGCTGGGAGACTTCAATATCCATGCCGAGGCGACCCTCACAGGAGCGGCTCAGGACTTCATGTCTGCCATGGCAACCATGGGGCTGTCCCAACAAATATCTGGCCCCACCCATTGTGCTGGACACACATTGGACTTGGTTTTCTGCCAGGGATGGGAGCAGGGTGGCGGTGTGGAGGAGTTGTCTATCTCTCCGTTGCCATGGACTGACCACTTCCTGATCAGATTTAGGCTCACTGCACCCCCTAACCTCCGCAAAGGTGGAGGACCCATTAAGATGGTCCGCCCCAGGAGGCTTATGGATCCGAATGGATTCCTGACGGCTCTTGGGGACTTTCCCGCCTCCGCGGCAGGTGACCATGTCGAGGCCTTGGTCGCTCTCTGGAATGGGGAGATGGCCAGGGCAATTGACGTGATCGCTCCGGAACGTCCCCTCTCAAGTAGCCGAGCTAAACCAGCTCCTTGGTTTACTGAGGAGTTGGCAGTGATGAAGCGAAGGAAGAGGGAACTAGAGAGCGTGTGGCGTTTGGACCCAAGCGAGCCAAATCGAGCAGGGTTTGTGTCCTTCTTAAGGGCATATGCCGCGGCAATAAAAGCCGCAAAGAAAAGTTTCTTTGCGGCCACTATTGCGTCTGCAAAAAACCGTCCGGCGGAGTTGTTCCGGATTGTCAGAGGTCTTTTAACTCCCGCCACCTCAGGCGGGAGCCCTGACAACTCGGTCACGCGCTGCGAAGCATTTGCTCGGTTTTTTGCAGACAAAGTCGCTTTGATCCGTTCTGGGCTGGACACCATGTTAAATGCAGTCTCTGAGGATGTGACACGAGCACCTGCTTGTCCTATTTTGATGGATTCTTTTCAGTTTGTGAAGCCCGAGGATGTGGACAAGATACTTGGAGGAATGAGGCCCACCACGTCCATCCTAGACCCCTGCCCCTCCTGGCTTCTGAAGGAGGCCAGAGGGGGATTGGCTGAGTGGGTAACGGTGGTGGTTAATGCCTCCCTTCGGGAAGGCAAGATTCCAGCGAGCTAAAACAGGCTATTATAAAACCGCTGTTGAAGAAACCATCACTGGACCCCACTAAATTGGACAACTTTCGGCCTGTTTCCAATCTCCCCTTTTTGGGCAAAGTCATGGAAAGCGTGGTGGCCTCACAACTCCAGGTATTCTTGAGAGACACGGATAATCTGGATCCGGCACAGTCTGGTTTCAGACCGGGACATGGTACAGAGACGGTCTTGGTCGCCTTAGTGGATGATCTGCGCCGGGAGCTAGACAGGGGGAGTGTGTCCCTGTTGGTGCTCCTGGACCTCTCAGCGGCCTTCGATACCGTCGACCACGGTATCCTTCTGGGGCGCCTTGCGGAAATGGGTCTTGGGGGCACTGCTCTGCAGTGGCTCCAGTCATTTCTGGAGGGTCGTACCCAGAAGGTGTTATTGGGGGACTCCTGTTCAACACCACAGCCGTTGATCTGTGGGGTTCCACAGGGCTCTATACTGTCCCCCATGCTGTTTAATATCTACATGAAGCCGCTGGGTGAGATCATCCGGAGTTTCGGGGTGCGGTGTCATCTGTACGCAGATGATGTCCAACTCTGTCACTCCTTTCCACCTGCTACTAAGGAGGCTGTCGAGGTCCTGAACCGGTGCCTGGCTGCTGTAATGGTCTGGATGAGGGCGAACAAACTGAAATTAAATCCAGACAAGACAGAGGTACTCCTGGTCAGTCGCAAGGCCGAACAGGGTATAGGGTTACAGCCTGTGCTGGACGGGGTTGCACTCCCCTTGAAGGCGCAGGTTCGCAGCTTGGGTGTGACCCTGGATTCATCATTGAGCCTGGATCCCCAGGTTTCAGCGGTGACCAGGGGAGCATTTGCACAGCTTAGGCTCGTGCGCCAGCTGCGCCCGTACCTTGGGAAGTCTGACTTGGCCATGGTGGTACACGCTCTGGTCACATCCCGCCTTGACTACTGCAACGCTCTCTACGTGGGGCTGCCCTTAAAGACGGCCCGGAAGCTTCAGCTAGTCCAGCGTGCGGCAGCCATGTTACTAACAGGAGCGGGACGCAGGGAGCACACAACGCCCTTGCTGTTCCAGCTCCACTGGCTGCCGATTTGCTACCGGGCCCAATTTAAGGTGCTGGTGTTATCCTACAAAGCCCTAAACGGTTCCGGCCCAAAATACCTTTCGGACCGCATCTCGGCCTATGAGCCCACGAGGACCTTGAGATCGTCGGGAGGCCCTTCTCTCGATCCCGCCTGCTTCACAGGCACGTCTGGCGGGGACGAGAGAAAGGGCCTTCTCGGTGGTGGCCCCCCGGCTGTGGAACGACCTCCCTGCTGACATCAGACAGGCGCCCTCCCTTCTGTCCTTCCGTAAGAGCCTGAAGACCTGGCTATTTGAGAAGGCATTCAACTGAGCGCTACGGCAACTGGTAATTGACAACTGGAACGGAATACGGATTACGATATTGGTTATGATTCTATGATGTGACGGAGCGGATTATTTAGTGTATCTAGATTATAGTGTATTATTGTTGTATTGATTTCCTGTTTTGCTCTTTTGTAAACTGTTTTTATATGTTGTGCACCGCCGCGAGTCGCCCTAGGGCTGAGAGCGGCGGTCAATAAATGCAGTAAATAAAATAATAAATAAATAAATAAATATTCTGGGCTGTGTGGAAGGGCCCTTAGTCCACACTCAGATGATGTGGGATTCCCTGCCTTGATATTCTGGGCTATAGGGCTGTGTGGAAGGGCCCTGAGTCTACACTCAGATGATGTGGGATTGTCTGCCTTGCTATTCTGGGATATAGAGCTGTTTGGAAGAGTCCTTAGTCCACACTCAGATGCATTGTCTGCCATGCTATTCTGGGCTATAGGGCTGTAGGGAAGGGCCCCTTCTCAGCCTGTTTTGCTTGCTTTCCTTCCCTTCCTCCCTCTGCGCGTGTAGGAAGTGAGCTCAGGCAGCAGAGAGGAAGTCCCGCCCCCTCCTTGCCCTGCGCTCTCGCCTCTCTTGCTGGCTCCGCGTTTGGAGGAGGAGGAGGAGGAGGAGGAAGGAAGGCAGGCAGGAGGGAAGGCGCCCAGGGGTCTTTCTCTCGGGGCAAGGCAGGAGGTGGAGAGGGGACGCGGCGAGGAGGAGGAGGAGGAGGGCGGCTGCCTGCCTGAGCCCGCCACCCATCAGGATGTCGGACACGGTAGGAGGACGCCTTGCCCGCCGGCCCCGGGAGGCCTGTTTCCGCGGCTCCCCTTGGGGAAAACAAAGGCCGGATCCGCACCGCCACGGCGCCAGGCCATGCCGTTCTCGGCTGTGCAGGATCCAGCCAAGATTGGGGAGGCCACCCCACCATTCCTTGCCTTGCCCGCCTTCCCTCCCTTTCCCTGCGAGGCTTGGCTTCAGGAGAGCCTTCCTCTCGGCTTCCCTTTCAAGGATCCCACCCCTTCTCCCTCTTCTTCCTTCCTTCCTTCCTTCCTTTGCGGGGATGATCTGGGCTTGGAGTGAATGGAAAAGGAGGCCGAAGTCTTCCTCCTGGGCCTTGTTTTGTTTACTTGCCAATACACCCAGACCGCAGTGCACGAGTTGGGTCTGTTTGTTTACTTGTCTCAGCGCCGGAAACGAAAGAGGATGACATAGGCCTGCGTTTAGGGGGTGTTTTTTTTAGTCTTAGACCCCCATCTAGGCTGGATCTACACTGCCATATAATCCAAGGCCTTTCCACACAGCCACATGACACAAAACATCATGGCAGGTAATCCACAAAATCTGATTTGAACTGGGTTATCTGAGTCCACACCGCCATATAATCCAGTTCATTGTGGATTTTATACCGCGATGTGGAAGGGGCCTCAGATTATCAAAGCAGATAATCCACATTGTCTGCTTTGAGTTGGATTATAGGAACCCCCCCTTCCACATAATCCAGATTATCTGCTTTGAACTGCATAATAGGATGCCCATTCTACACTGTACTATAATCTAGATCAGGGGTCCTCAAACTTTTTAAACAGAGGGCCAGGTCACAGTCCCTCAAACTGTTGGAGGGGCGGATTATAATTTTTTAAAAAATGAATGAATTCCTATACACACTGCACGTATCTTATTTGTAGTGCAAAAAACACTTAAAAACAATACAATTAAAATGAACAATTTAAAAAAAATATAAACTTCTTAGTATTTCAATGGGAAGTGTGGGCCTGCTTTTGGCTGATGAGATAGGATTGTTGTTGTTGTTGTTGTTGTTGTTGTTGTTGTTGTGTGCTTTCAAGTCATTTCAGACTTAGGTTGACCCTGAGCAAGGGCCGGGTAAAAGACCTTGGAGGGCCGCATCCGGCCCCCAGGCCTTAGTTTGAGGACCCCTGATCTAGATTGTCAAAGCAGATACTTCATATTATTGAAGCAGATTATCCACTTTGAGCTGGATTATAGAAGGCCCCTTCTACCCTGCCATATAATCTAGATTATCAAAGCAGATAATCCACGTTATCTGCATTGAACTGAGTTATAGGAAACCCCTTCAACACTGCCATATAATCCAGATCAGGGGTCCTCAAACTAAGGACCAGTGGCCGGATACGGCTCTCCAAGATTATTTACCCGGCCCTCGATCAGGGTCAATCTAAGTCTGAAATGACTTGAAAGCACACAACAACAACGATTCTATCTCATCAGCCAAAAGCAGGCCCACACTCCCAATTGAAACACTAATAAGTTTGTATTTGTTTCAACTGCTCTTTATTTTAATTATTGTATTGTTTTAGTGTTTTTTGCATTACAAATAAAATATGTGCAGTGTGCATAGGAATTCACTCATGATTTTTTCAAATTATAATCCAGCCCTTCAACAGTTTGAGGGACTGTGCCCTGGCCCTCTGCTTTAAAAGTCTGAGAACCCCTGATCGAGATTATCAGACAGGCAATCCAGATTATCTGTTTTGAACTGGATTATATGAGTGTACACTGCTATATAATCCCATTCAAAGCAGATAATCTGGATTTTATATGGCAGTGGAGATGAAGCCTTAGGGTCCTTCCAGACTGTCATATAACCCAGAATATCAATGTAGAAAATCTCACAATATCTGCTTTGAACTGGATTATCTGAGTCCACACTGCCATATAATCGGGTTCAAAGCAGATAATGTGGGATTTTATTCAGCTGTCTGGAAGAGTCCTTAGTCTGCATTGCCATATAATACAGTTCAAAGCAGATGATCTGGATTTTATATGGCAGTGTAGAAGTGCCAGTTAGTCACACTGAGTATCTGCGAAGGAAGACAGGATAAAATTAGAATAAATAAATAATAACGTTTGTTTAACTAAATGTAAAAGTGGGTTTCAGTTGTTTCATGACCAGGACATAGGAGGAAACCAGAGAAGGCAGCAAATGCACCCAAGGCCCCTTTTACACTTCCGTATAATCCAGATTATCAAAGCAGATATCTGAAATTATCTGCTTTGAACTGGATTATATGAGTCTACACTGCCATATAATCCAGTTCAAAGCAGATAATCCGGATTGTATTTGGTAGTGTAGAAGGGACTCAAGTCTCAAATCCATACTGTAGTTTCTGAACACACTGGTTCTGTTTCTGTATCTAGATTTAGTATGAATTCTGTAAAAACAATTCTTCCAAATGCTACGAATCTTTTGTCTTCCATCATTACTATTAATTACAATTTTTCTTTTGTCCACCTTTATTGTCCTCTAATTCAACCTTGCAACTTTTAATTTACTTCTCATTGCAAGTGGCAGATTTGAAGTACGGGTAACGTACTATATTTACATCGCACTAGTGAGTTGATCCTTAGTTTTTATTATTGTATTTTGATTCTTAAGTTAACAGCTCTTATAATTCTCAGAGCAACTTTTGTAGCTGGTAGTCAAGATACTTCAGAAGATGCAAAAGACCATCAAAGCAGTAGGGAAACAAAACAACAAACAAAACCACTAGAAGCAAAGCTTCTGAATATATGCTGTATTAACTGCAGTGACAACACCTCAACTCCAATATGCAGGTTTGCAAGTTCTTATTTATGTTTAATTTTTTCATGATTAAATATATATGCATTATGCCTGCCAGGATTTTCCATAGCAGGGTATCGTGTAAAAGGTTTCTACCTGGTTTCTTAATACCAGATGGAAACTTAAGTACATATTTATTTGGCATATTTTCAGCTTTTCAGAGAAGTTTATACCATTTTACCATTGGCTTCTATGAGCAACCCAAGGCACCCGGCTTTCTTTTAAAAAAGAACCAGAAGTTGGGTAATGCTTACTGTTGGTACCAGATGTTTGCCCTTATGTTTCTAGTTGTTAACTTTTCTGATTGGAGGATTACCGTATTTCTTTGATTCTGAGGTGCCATTGATTGTAAGACATACACTAATTTCAGTACTACCATAATAATAATAATAATAATAATAATAATAATAATAATAATAATAATATTACATTACATTTTTTGATGTCAGGACTTGAGAAACTGCAAGTTGCTTCTGGTGGCCCTCTGCAAGGATGTTGCCCAGGGGATGCCCTGGTGTTTTACCATCCTGTGGGAAGCTTCTCTCATGTCCCTGCATGAGAAGGTGCAGCTGACAGATGGGAGCTCACCCCGCTCCCCGGGTTTGAACCGGTGATCTTTCGATTAGTAGTCTTGCTAACACAAGGATTTAACCCAGGGCTCCTCAAACTTTTTAAACAGAGGGCCAGGTCACAGTCCCTCAAACTGTTGGAGGGCCAGATTGTAATTATGAAAAAAATGAATTCCTATGCACACTGCACATATCTTATTTGTAGTGCAAAAAACACTTTAAAACAATACAATAATTGAAATGAAGAACAATTTTAACAAATATAAACTTATTAGTATTTTAATGGGAAGTGTGGGCCTGCTTTTGGCTGATGACATAGGATTGTTGTTGTGAGCTTTCAAGTTGTTTCAGACTTAGGTTGACCCTGATCGAGGGCCAGGTAAATGACCTTGGAGGGCCGTATTTGGCCCCCGGGCCTTAGTTTGAGGACCCCTGATTTAACCTATTGCACCACTGGGGCCTCCATATTATTAAAAAAGCTCCTGTGATTGTAAGACAGTGTTTTTAGAGATATTTATATGGGGGAAAAGTGTGTCTTAGAATTTAAGAAATTCAATAATAATCTGTGTGATCCTACCAAAGTATTGATAACATGTGGGCTGAATTAAAATACTTCCTTGGTAAGAAATTTAGTTCTTTTATAAATGCTGTATATATGTGTGTGTGTGTATATATATATATACACACACACATACAAGTTTTGTATTTTAAAAGCATTAGTGTACATATCTTGCAAAAAAATCTGTATGCCATGACATTCGGGGAGGGGGGGACTGTTCAGTGTCTGACTTTAAAAATTAAATAAAGCAACAGACGAATACCTAATATTAACAACAACAACAGGACATTATTTATACCCCTCCCCGTCTCCCAGCAAGGGACTCATAATGACCGCATTTCTGTGTACGAACCCACACGACCTCTTCGATCATCTGGAGAGGCCCTGCTCACGCTCCCACCCTCATCACAGGCGCGATTGGTGGGAACGAGGAGAGGGCCTTCTCGGTGGTGGTCCCTCGACTCTGGAATTCACTTCCCAAGGAAATCAGGCATGCCCCAACTCTGGAGGAGTTTGAAAACATGGTTGTTCCAGCGTGCCTTCCCAGAATAAGAAAACTCTCGGCAATATGTCCTCCAAATGCACATTATTACCGACTTAGGATTGCCTGCACGCCCTTATACCTCTCTGAAAACCTATCCCAGTTATATTTTATCTGTTCATACCCAGCATTATTTTTTAAATTTTAATTATTACATTTGGCCCAGCCATAGGTTTTTAAACATTTGTTGTGCTATTGTCAATGTTTATTGCTTATGAGATTTATTTTAACTGTTTTGTATTGTTATTTGTTATTGCTTTTATTATTGATGTATTGTGGGCTCGGCCTCATGTAAGCTGCACCGAGTCCCTTGGGGAGATGGTAGCGGGGTATAAATAAAGTTATTATTATTATTATTAATGTAATTGAAGCCACAAAGTTGAAAGGAGGAGAGTAAAACGCATTATTCTGTGGTTTTACAGGCAGGGTGGAGAATTTCCTCCTCCTCCTTACACTTGCAAACACAGCTAAGACACCTCAGAAAAGTATTGATTTCCTCGAATTC